TCAGCCCAGCAACAGTAAAGAAACTGGTAACCAGCAGCCAAATGATGCAATTAATGAAAACACGGTCATTTTAATGAATAAGGTAAGAACAAAACCTTTAAATGATAAAAGCCAGAGGATAAAACTAATGAAAAGAACCGACTTTTTAATGAATAATGTAATAACAATATGCTTAATATCAAACTTTCATCAAAGATTGAAGAAAAGAAAAAGCAGAGTGTTGATGTGAGGCAGAAAAGAAACAGCAAACCAAGTGAAAAGCAGCAGCTTCCAATTATGGAGAAAGTAAAGGGTGATAGGTAAGCCTATGGCAGTATTTAACAGTAGGTAATTATACTTTTCCTCCAAAACAAGTTCAAATTTGAGCTAATATTCATGATTCATAATTTTACATTTATACCAGAGAGTTTGAACCTTGCTTGGTAATCAGAAAAACACAAATCAACATACAATGAGTTACTATTATTTTGCACTTAAAATGTTAATTATTTTATTTAAAAATAGAAACCAGAATTGGCCCACAGGAGGAAAAGGCATACTTGTGCACTATTGGTAGATGGAATTGGCACATCTTTTTCAAAGATTGTTTTAAAAATTCAGAGTGTCATTCCTTTATCCCAATATCTTCACTTCCAGAACTAGGTTGTACATGAAAACATTACTTGCATAAACATACATATATACAGTGTGAGTACTGTTGCACAAATTTGTGCACAGGTATGGTCCCTCGGCCTACCGGGAGAAATGGGGGAAAGGGCTGTGGGACATTGGCCAGCAGCTGGAGGTTGACTGTGGGAGCTCACTAACAACCAGGGGCAGCTCTTGTGTTGAGCATTTGTCCTCTGGTGGTCAGTGCATGTCATAGTGATTGGTCAACTGTTTGTTTCATCATTTGGTTACTTAGGCCTTTATATATATAGATAAAATATACAGTACATAATTCCATGTAGTATACTATATAATATATATATATACTATATATATACACTATATATATATATATGCTAACAAAATATACATGTTTCTTGACATTTAGACATTTAACTTTCCACCATTTCAGGGAAATTACTGGGTGGTTTTAGGGTAAAAAGAAAGATTGGGATCTCCTCAGTAAGTGGTTCACATGCTAAAAAAATCAAGACTGCCATTTCTGACTGATACTGATTAGTTTTTGAACCAGGGACAGATGATGCAGAAGAGATAACTATCTTCCTACCTTGGTGTAGGTCATCAGATGTGTTCCAGTTCAGGAAATAAACATTATGTGAGTCAATAAGTGAGGCAAACAAATCAGTCTTAGGCAGAGTATGTCTCCATTAAATAGTACATAGTTGGGAGATGTTGCAGCAGAAATAGATAAATTAAAGCTTTTTTTTAGTGTTAATTATATTAAGAATCTTTATTTAATATACAGAAAGCTGATCTTTCACTTTAAATGTTGTTGCTTTATTTTTTTTTTTCTAAAGAAATAGATTCTCTCATTTGTGCTGTGGATTTTACAGCAAACGTCGTGTTGCAGTCGCAGGTCCTACATCAGACAATGTCATCTACAAGGTAAAGTGCTCTCTTGTGAAATTAGCTTTCTTGCTCTTAATTGAATTATTGTGTAACACTTAACATTTCTCAGTGGCATACCTATCATTGTTTTATATTTGTAATGCAAAATTAGTTTTTGTATAGTTAAATCCTAAATTTGTGAAATGTTTTATTGATTTTAGAAAGAATGTGTAAGGGGAAGGGATAGAGAGAGAGAAAGAGAAACATAGATGTGATGAAGAAACATTGATTGGCTGCATCCTGCAAGAAGGAAGGGCACTGATAGGGATTCTTCAGACAACCTATCTTTATGCCTTGACTGGGAATTTAACCCATGACCCTTAGGTGCATGGAATGGTACTCCATCCACTGAGTCCAAGAGGAAAATATATTTACTTTATTGTGTGGTACTTTTTATATAAAATTCCACAACAAGTGAGTCCATAGAGACAGAAATCAGACAAATGTTTCCCAGAGACTGGGTAGGGCGAATGGGGAGTTCCTGTTTCATGGGAATGAGGTTCCCTTCTGGATTGGTGATAGGTTTTGGAACTATCAAAATAGAGCTGATCATTGCACAACATGATACATGTGCCAAATGTTTCTGAATTTTGTACTTTAAAATGGTTTATTTTATGTTTGGTGAAGTTTAATCACTATGAAAAGAATACTGTCATAATCAATCAATCGAATTAAGATCATGTTATACACCTTTTAGAACAATCCAATAGGCTCATTTAAAACATGTCTTCTGGTAAAGGTTAGTTACATTGTTAATTGATACCATTTTGGTTGCATAAGATGTGAGGAATGATTTCAGTCTTTTAAAATTGACTGAGGATTGTTTTATGACCTTCCAAGTGGTCTATCTAGGAATCTGTTCCAAGTGTACTTAAAAAACTTAGAGCCTACGGTTTTAGGTTAATAATGCTTTGAACATATCAATGAAATTCATTGGAGTTTTGATTGGAGTTTTTAAGAGATATACATTTACCTTTATTCTTTTGAAATATCTATCTATTAATATAAAAGGGGTATTGAAATCCCTAACTGTGATTGTATTGATGTTTGCTTTATATATTGAAGTCCTCCTTTGGTGGGTGCCTTTTTGTTCATAAGGGCTATTTCTTCTTGTTGGATTAATCCCATATCATTATGTATTGGCCTCCTTTGTGTCTTTTTATAGCCTTAGATTTAACTTCTATATTTTTCTGATATAAGTATTGCTTTCCCAGCTGTTTTTATGGTTATTTGTGTTTTTGTGGCATTTTGTTTGCTTATTTGAATTTTATTGGGGTGGCATTGGTCAACATGAACATATAGGTTTCATATGTGGATCACTAATTCACAAAACCTGTATATAAGACTATATGTCCACCACCCAAAGTCAAATCTGCTCCTTTCACCTCAAAATAGTACCCTTTTCTCCCTATAACCCTTCACTGTTTGCATTTGAAAAATTTATTTAATTATATTTTATTGATTTTATTTTTTAAATACATTATATTGATTTCAGAGAGAGGAAGGGAGAGGGTTATACATATATAAACATTGATGAGAGAGAAATATTCATCCTCTGCCTTCCACATGACCATTTTTGGGGATTGGGCCTGTATCCTGGGCATGTTCCCTGAGCATGTATAGGACTAGTGATCTCTTGGTTCCTATATAGACACTTGACCACTAAGCAACACTGGTCAGGGGAACATTTTTTTCATTGAATTTTTATTCACTGATTTTGATAGAGAACAAGGAAAGGGTGAGAGATGGAGAGAGAGAGAAAGATAAAGAGAGAGAGAGGACTACCTATTTGTTGCTCTACTTACGTAAACATTCATTGCTTGCTTCTTGCATATGCCCCAATGAGAGTTTGAACCAGAAAATGTGCTATATAGAGACATTATCCAATTTAGCCACCAGGCCAGCATTGTTTTTGTTTGAATTTTAAGGAAATATCTTTTTCCACCCTTTTACTTTCAGTATGTATGTATCTTTTGCTGAGGTGGTTCTTTTGTAGATAGCACATGTAGGGAATTTGTTTTCTTATCCATCTATCTACTCTATTTTTTTTTAATTGGAGCTTTTAAGATATATACATTATAGGAGTTATTGATAGCTACTCACTTATTGCTATTATATTCTTTATAATTATGTCTCTTGCCTTTTTTCTATAACTTTATATAAAAAAACCCTTTAATGATTCCTCTAATACTGTCTTTTTTGTGTGATGAACTTCTTTAGGTTACCTCGGAAACTCTTTATCTCCTTTTCAACAGTAAATGACAGCTTTGTTAGGTTGAGTAGTCATGGATGTAGGTCCTTCTTTTTTATCACTTAGAATATTTTGTACCAATCCTTGCCAGCCTGAAATGTGTCTGTTGAGAAAGCATCCAACAGATTTATTGGGGCTCCCTTGTAGGTAACTATTTTGTTTTCTTTCTGCTTCTAACATCCTCTCTTTGTCTTTAACTTTTGCCATTTTCATTATGAAGTATTATGAAGTAGCTTGGAGTGTACCTCTTTCTGTTTATCTTGTTTGATACTCCCTTTCCTACACTACTGTGTGTTTTTCTTCATCAGGTGAGGGAAGCCTCAGTCATTTTATTTCTTTAAATAGGTTCTTAATTTTTGCTCTCATTCTCCTCCTTCTGGTACACCTATATTGTGGCTGTATCTATGCTTTCTGTTATCCCAGAAATCCCTTAAACTACTCTCATTAAAGGAAGAATATATATATATATATATATATATATATATATATATATATATATATATATTTATCCTATCTAATAAAAGAGTAATATTGACTATCACTCCAACACACAAGATGGCTGCCCCCATGTGGTCAAAAATGGCTGCCCCATGTGGACACAAGATGGCTACCACAAGATGGCCATCATGGGAGGACAATTGTGGGTGATCAGGCCACCAGTGGAGGGCATTTAAGGGTGACCGAGCCAGCAGAGGATGCAGTTGGTGGAGACCAGGCCAGTAGAGAAGTACACTTAGGGGGTGACCGGGCCTGAGGGGAGAACAGTTAGTAAAAACCAAGCTGTCAGGGGGGGGGCTATTAGGGTTGACCAGGCTAGCAGGGGAGGGCACTTTAGGGTAATCGGTCTGACAGGGGAGCAAAAAGGCATATTGCAGGCTTACAAGGGAATGGTTAGGGGTGATCAGGCTGGCAGGCAAGCGAGTGGTTGGGAGCCAAGAGTCCTGGATTGTGAGAGGGATGTCTGACTGCCTAGTTAAAGGTTTAAACTGGCATTTGGACATCCCTCAAGGGGATACTCAGGGGATACTGATACTCAGCAGCCAAATGACAAAATTAATGAAAACACAGACTTCTTAATGAATAAGGTATTAGCAAAGCTAATCATAAAGCCAAATGATAAAAGTAATGAAAACACAGTCTTCTTAATGTGTAAGGTAATAACAGCATCTTTAATATCAAACTTTCACCAAAGGTTGAAGAAAAGAAGGAACAGAAAATTAGTAAGAGGGAAAAGTCAGAAAACATGTTTGATGTAGCTGATGATGACACTGACAGTCAGAAAAGCAACAGTGAACAAAATGATAAGCACCAGTTTCCTATTGTGCAAAATGAAGATTCTAATAGGTACGTCTATAGCAGTGTCTATTCTTTTCCTATAAAACAAATTCTAAGTTGAGCTAATATTCATGATTAACAAATTTTATATTTATACCTGAGTGCATCTTGCTTTGTAATCAGAAAATGCAAATCAACAAATAATGAGATACCATTTTTTGAACTTATAGTGATAATTATTGTTTTATAAAACAAAACCAGAAATTTCTCATTGGATGAAAAGACCTTCTCGTGCACTGCTGTACCTATAATTTCGGTTCATCTTTTTCAAAGGGTAATTGAGCTTCTTTCACAATGTCATGTATGTTATTCCTTTATCCCAATAGCTTCACTTCCAGAACTAGATTCTTCATAAAAACATGATCTTATAAACACACACATACACAGTCTAAGGACTTTATGTTATGTTATGATGTATATAAAACATACAATAGGTCATTTTATGTACTATTTATAATACTAGAGGCCCAGTGTACAAAATTCTTGCACTGGGGGGTGGAGGTGGGTGTCCTTTAGTCTGGCCTGTGCCTTCTCACAGTCTGGGACTCCTAGCTCCTAATGCCCGCCTGCTGGCTGCTCCTTACTGGTTGTTTCCCTGCTCTTTAGCACTGCTGTGGAGACTGGACAGGCTCCTGCCCCCGCCACTGCTCTCCCCAGCTCTAAGCCCAACTTCTTGCTGAGCAGCTCACCCTGTAGGAAGGCGCTGACCACCAGGGGGCAGCTCCTGCATTGAGCATCAGCCCCATAGTGGTCACTGTGTGTCATAGTAACCAGTTGTTCTCCTGTTTAGTCAATTTGCATAGTAGGCTTTTATTATATAGGATTATATACCAGGCTAGAGTATACAAAAATTACCAAATAATTTTATTTTCTAAGAAAATCATAACTAATTGATTTATTGCTATTTTCTAGCTATATATATAATTCCATGTGGATATTTTATTTTTTCAAATTTCTATTTCTTTCTGTGATTTATTGAGTCATAATTGACATGTAACATTGCATATTTTGAAGGTCTATAGTGTGTTCATTTGATATACTTTTATGTTGTTAAGTAATCAGCCCAGGAGTGCTTGTTCACACTTCCATTAATTACATTACATAATTATCAATTCTTTCTTTGTGATGAGAACATATAACTCTACTCCCTTAGCTACTTTCAATTATATAATACATATTGTTAACTATAGTCACCACACTGTACATCAGACTCCCACTAGTGATCATCTTAAAATGAAAGCTTGTACTTTTGACCAGCATCTTCCCTGCTCCCCACATCCTCAGCCTCTGGCTACCACTGCTGTACTCTCTGATTTTATGAGTTTAGGTACTTTAGATCCCATATGCAAGTGAGATCCTGCAGTATTTGTCTTTGTCTGACTTATGTTTACTAGTCTACTGCTCTCAAGGTTCACCTATGTGGTCGCAAATGGGAGTGAAACCTGCAAAGTGGGTCCAGGCTGCCTATCACTACTTGAGCCAATTAAGCAGAGAGGGTCGATTCATATATACGCATTTATTCCAACAATACTGGCAGTATGGGAGAGCAGTAGGTCATCCAAGAATATCTGCTCTGCATACCACCCACCCCCATCCCAAGAAACCAGCTGCTTGTATGGGGTAGAAGACAAAGATTACATGGGAAAGTAGGCAAAGGGAATAGGAATGCTTATGCAAAAGTAATAAAAATAGGTATTACGGGCATAGGGAAATAGGCAAAAAGAAAAAAGATGGGTATACTGTTTACAGATTACAGACAATGCAAGCTGGGGGTTTGCAACGTGTAGGCACCTCTGGGACTCCATTGTTGCTCCAACAAGGTTATTAATCTTTTCATGATAATAGGCAGTTAAAGAGGATGGACCACATTTCCAGGTTAACTCCCAGGACCCAGACAAGTGGGGGGAACACACAGCCAGATCACAACATCTTTCTTTAATCAGAACAAAACAATCATGGTTAATAGAGCATGACTAATAACTAATAACATTTCTTATAACTATAGCCAGTCTCTATTATTCTATTCCTTTCTCATGCCAGAGAAAATTCCATTGTCTATGCATGTGTCTTTGTGTGTGTGTATACATAGACACACAATTACATATATAATATACACATACATGCAAACATACATACATACCACTATATCTGTTCATCTATTGGTGAAAACTTAGTTTATATATCTTGGCTGTTGTGACTAAGGCTGCAGTATACATAGGAGTGCAGCTATCTTTTTGAGGTGGTGAAAAAAATGTATGAGTGCTCTCTAAAGGTCCCTTAGGTTCATTTGGTCTAATGTTTGGTTCAAGTTTAACATTTCCTTGTTGATATTGTGTCTAGATGATCAATTCATTGCTGAAAGTGGGGTATTGGTGCTCCTTGTTATTATGGTGTTGTTGGATATTTAAACCTTTAGTTCTGATAAAATTTGTTTAATATTTTTAGGGGAACCAATGTTGGATATATACCTATTGACAATTGTTATATCTTTTTGAAGTGATCTCCTTATCGTTATATAAAGACCTTGCTTGTGCCGTGTTAGTTTGTGGCTTAAATTCCGTTTTGTCTCAGATAAGAATACCTACAAATGTTCTCTTTTGGTTTTTACTTGCAAGGAATATCTTTTTCCTCTATTCGCTTTGAGTCTTTAATTGTCTTTAAGAATGATTAAGCCCTGGCCAGTGTGGCTTTCTTAGCTGGAACACCATCCCTATACCAAAGGGTTGTAGGTTTAATTCCAGGTCAGGGCATGTTCCTAAGTTGTGGATTCCATTTCTGGTTGGGTACATAGGAGAGGCAACCAATGTTCTCTCTCTCTCATTGATGTTTCTCTGTCTGTCTGTCTGTATTTCTGACTATTCCCCACTCTCTAAAATCGATGAGCATATCCTCTGGTGAGAATTTTTTTTAATTTAAGAAAATGAATGGAGTCTCTTGAAGGCAGCATATGTTGGTGTCTTATTATTTAATCCAACAAAACATAGTGTGCCCTTTTCCCTTTTTATTGAATTTGTTGAGGTGACTCTTATTAACAAAAGTATACAGATTTCAGGTGCATATTTCTACAACACATAGTCTGCCTGCCATATTGTGTGTTCTGCATCCCTAGTCATTCCATGCTTTTGATTGGAGAATTCAATCCAGTTTCAAAGAAATTATTATTATTATTATTATTAAAAAATATATATTTTATTGATTTTATACAGAGAGGAAGGGAGAGACATAGAGAGTTAGAAACATCGATGAGAGAGTCATCGATCAGCTGCCTCTTGCACACCCCGTACTGGGGATATGCCCGCAACCAAGGTACATGCCCTTGACCGGAACTGAACCCAGGACCCTTCAATCCCCAAGCCGACGCTCTATCCATTGAGCCAAACCGGTCCCGGCTTCACAGAAATTATTGATAGGCAAAGACTTATTAATACTATCTTGCTATTCTCTGGCAGTTTTGTATCATAATTCCATTGTTCCTCTATTGCTTACTTCCTTTTTTAGATTGAAGATTTTTTGTATTGTACTTTGAATTCTTGCTCTTTATCTTTTGTCAATCTGCTTAAGTTTTTTGTTTTGTGGTTACCATGAGGTTTACATAAGATATCACATAAATATAACAGTTCATTTAATGTTGATCACAGCTTTGATTGTGTTTAACTGCAGATCAACATTACAGAAAGAAAAAGAGAAGAGACGAAAAGCTGATCTCTTATATCCAAAAAATACAGCGCACTTAAGGAAAAAAGAAGGGCAGCCCATGAAAGCTGTTGAAATGAACCCCAAAGTTGAAAACAAAATAGGAACACAAGTCATGGCCCTGAAGACTGTAAGAGGGAATAATGTAAATTTATCTTTGGTAAAAATGTCTTGTATCTAACCGTATTGGGTCAATAATTGTATCCCTTTGATTTAATAACATTATTACATTTAAAACAAACCCAACATGGTATCTTGTTCAAAATATGAACTGTGACATTTATGACTAAAATTATTAATTTATTACTATCCTTGGTATGTGGTCGATGGTCTGTAAAGGTTTTCTAAATGAAAAATGGGACAATAAATTGAGTTTAACCATTCACATCAATGTTAATTTTGGCTTGTAAAAATGTTAACATAGAGGCTAAATTGCCTTGAGAATGTGATGGAGTTACTCAAATGTTCATAAACAAATTTTACTTCACAATACTGCATTTTTGCTCTATGACTATTACTTTGCTCTATGACAAATCTAGCTATTACTTAAGTTAAATTTTGAGTTTTTCATGAAAACAAAATATCCTTATACTTAAATAGCCTATTTCTTTTTAACAGTTTTTAAAGGATCTGTTCTTAAGCTTTGAACTTTTTGTTAATGGCATGAGATAAAAACTAAATGAAATGTATCCCTAGGTTGTTGAAGAACAAAATTACACTCAGAAGCAACTTTCTGAAGAACAGAAAACAAGTATATTACAAAATAGAACTCTGACCAAACACCCTTGCAAGCCAAAGGGGATAAAAAGAGCTCATAAGAAAGACTTATCTCAGGTAAGTTATTTAGTCATTTACAAATGTGTGTAAGTATATATGGGTGTGTAGATATGTAAAATCCAATACTGTACATAAGGAAACTATAGATAATTTAAAAACATATCTGTGTTTGTGTGAGTGTGTGTGTGTGTGTGTGTGTGTGTGTGTATGTGTGTGTGTGTGAGTGTGTGTGTATGTGTGTGTGTGTGTGAGTGTGTGTGTGTGTGTGTGTGTGTGTGTGAGTGTGTGTGTGTGTGTGTGTGTGTGTGTGTGTGTGTGTGGTGGCATTTTGGGTCCATTGGATAAAATGATATTCTTAATTAAAATCCATTTGTCTCTCCCCAGTCAAGTAGTGACAGTGACAATGGCCTCATCCGAAGGGAAGGCTTTTAATATTTTCCGTAGTAATTGGTGTGTTTTCCATGACCTCAAAGGTATAGCTACCTAGATTTTGGCAATGATTACATTTCCTTGATATATTATTAGAGAGGTTAGTTTTCATTTCCACTGATAGTAAGGAGGAAAAGAAGAGCCAGTTCTGAGGTAATATGCTAGATGTCATTCTACCTTTGAGAAAAGTTACAATTTGTTTGTAGTTATATCTCATTTTAACACAAGAGATTTTGAAGAGAATGCTATGCTGTAACATATACTTACTGACAATTTATTGTTACTTTATTGCTAGTAAAGTAATTCAGTGCATTTCTACCCATTTAACATTTATTACAGTAAACATTGTGAACAAGGAAGAAAAGTTATTATAGTAACATAATCTCATGATTTTCTAAGAAGAGCTCTGTATATATTATCTTACCATTACTTTTTTGAAATATTTGGCATCTTTTGTGTTTTTATATTCACACTAGAGAAGAACTATGGATTGGGGCAAGAAAAACAATTTTTAAGTCTGGAAACCTGGGGAAAATCCAGAAGTTGCTTATGTTTTTAACCCCTCCATTCCAGATTGTGATAACTGAATGCGTTCATAGATGGATGTAGAAGAGTTTAGGATAATGCCTAGATGAGCAATTATAGTAGAGGTAGTATTTATTATTGAAAATACTAAAAAAGTAGATGATGTATGAAATAAGTTTTGAAAAATATTTTAAGAAATTTAGTCTTTCCTAGTATATGCAGGTTAATACTTTCAAAACGGGTAGCTATTCAGTCTATAATCTCAATTTTTAAGTGTAGTTAGAGTTATTAATCTTTTCCTTAATGTATTCTGGATTTGTAGTAATTCAGAAAAAGCCCTTTCCAATTCTGCGACTCTTAAACAGTAATGTGTGGTTTGCTTTTCAGTTTAAAAAATCCATGAACTTATATTACATTTTTAAACTTTGCAGAATGCAGGCTTGAATAAAGTTAGAGGTTGGGGTCCAATTCTATTTTTTTTATGAGGCATATCCACCAATTGGAAGCTTTTTATTGTAAACATAAAGGTCTCTTTAATTTCAGAGGCTATCATGATATATCATATCAATGAGTTAGCTAAAAGTCTCCTTCGTTTTACTTAGGTTTCTGATAGTTATGAAAAAGAAAAACCTCTGATACATGAAAATTGCATCTTGAAGGATGAAATTGCCAAGCTAACACTGGAACTAGTCTCAGTAAAAAATCAGATGCAGGAATTGGAAAAAAAATATTTTGAGGACATTGTGATTGTCAAAGAAAAAAATGACCATTTTCAAAAGACAATAACAGAAACACTACTTCAACACAATGAGCAGTTTGAAGTTCTGAGAGCTGAGCTTACAAAGCTAAGCACTAAACTGGAGGATGAACAACAAAACAGAGGAAGACTGGAAGCAGAAGGTGACTCATACAATTCTAGAAGGGCTACTGTTATACAGTACCATGAGCATTGTCAGACTTCAAAAGGAGATCTACAAGTTGCTTTCAAGAAAGAGAAAGAAGAATATTTTTGTTCCCAGGGCAAAAAGAACTCTGATATGTCTGACATAAAGCATAGCATTGAGATTCTTTCTCAACAACTTTCTAAATTTGAAAGTAAATTCAGTCACCTGGAAATTGAGCTTCGTTCCACAAAAGATGCTCTCAGAGATAGGACATTTGTTTTACAAGGTGGAGAAGGAGACCAAAGCCAAGCACATAGTCAAAAGAAGGAAATTGAACACGTGTATCAACAGGAACAAGGTAAAGTGGATAAAGACACCGGAAAGCAGGAATTTTTACAGGAGACCATACCTCACCTGCAGGGTGAAAATAAGTTCCTTCAAAAGCAACTGGATGAGGCTCACCACAAAGCTGAGAAGAATATTAAAACCAAAGATCAGTTGGCAGATACCATAAAAATACTTCAAGCCAACAGTGAAAAGCAAGGTCTTATGCTGAAGGAAACATGTAAGGAACTAATCAAGGAATGGCATCTTTTAAAAGAAAACACACATCAGTATGAAAATGATAAAGCAGAAAGAAATGTAAGTATCCAGAGATAAATATTTTCAAATTTCTTCTTAGAAAATTCAGAGCAATATTTGATGATGGCTAAATGCTGAATTCAGGTGAATATAAGAGAATGTATAGATTATAAAGCTGTTTGTTCTACTATTTTAAAAGCAGACATTGTATCCATCAAATGAACATTAGACCTGAAAAGTGCTTTGCTTGAATAAAGACATTGTGTTGCCCATGAAATTTTAAGATGTTAATTTCCAGATTGCTATTAGATGTAGATTGATAATACTTCAATCTTATATTAATTGAATAATAATTTTAGTCTTTCTGTCATGAATTTTAATATCATTAGGAAACACATAAATGGAAATGCTCTTACTTCAATGAGTATTTTTAAATTAATATTTAATTAAGTAAGTTCTCTTGACAATTAAGTTCAGATTTCCCAGATGAACTAAAGTGTAGATGTTGTATCCCATACTACCTTTCCTTCACTGGCTCCTTATACATTAAATTGACATAGAGTTACTTTTATTTATGCTAATTTGAATTAAATTTGAAAATATTTCAGTTTCAAGTAATGTGGGATCCCTTTCCAGGTCTAGCATGGTTCAGGGTTACTCTTTAAGGTTCCATGTTCTGGAGAGGGCCTCAGACAAATGAAGAAAGACTGGAAAAGAGTTAATTTGGGAAAATGGGGGGCCAGGCGGGAGTCCGCCTCTAGGGAGAGGACTACCTGCTGCTCTGGCCTTTTGCCATCCCTTTTATTGAGGTTCTGAGATACACCCACATCCTTTAAACAGGAAATTCCAACAATAGAAAATTGGCAAGGATTTATTTATGATTAACAGGTTAAAGTTGCTTCAACTACCACTGTCTCAACTAAACAATGAGTTAATAGCTCTGACCATTCAGACCCATTAAGGTTGGGATTTTCTTTGATATTGAACTACCAATGACAATGTTTGTTTTCCAGCAAAGTAATATATTCATAGGACCTCCTGATCTTTAAAGGCATTTACTTTTCATTCAATCATAATTTGGGACAAATGTGATGAGTTTTAGCAAATGTACACCTGATTTACACTTTCAAATACTATTTACCATTTTCTTAGAATATTTTTACAAGTAATTTGTTCATATTTCTCATGTTAAGGCCTAATCACTATCATTTGGAGCTGTTTGTCCAAGATAGAGAGCATTGTAGCTCTAATTTGTCATTGGACCTCCATTTCAGACTACTGAGGGGTGGCAGGGTTTATGTGTAGCAGGAAGGGAGGTCAAAGCCAGGTTACGTAGGGCCTTGAAGATCCTTGGAATGACTTCACTTTTCTTTTAAGTTAGAAACCTATTGGGAGGGTTTGAGCAGGGGATTGAATGTTCCAGGAGCTCTGACATTAATTGAAACCTCTGGTTAAAAAAGAGAAGAGAGAAAATGTTCCATAATATTGACTTTACTACCACTTGACCCACTAACATATCCAGTTTTCTTTGAGATGTCAGTAGATTGTAAAGCTTTGAGATTCATGAGAGAAGAGGGAGGGTTTGAGAGTGGGGCTGAGTCAGCTGTTTAAGTAACCTACTACTGATTAGCAGGAGGATTACATTTTCTGTGACTTGAACCTGATTGAGCAAACAAGACCATGTCCATATGAGGGAAAGAAGGTGAATTGAGTTAGATAGTGATAGTTTTACAGTTACATATTATATTAATAATATATGACGCTAACAAAATGCAGCCAGGCTGGGACAAAAGTAGGTTTACAGTAGTTTTGTATGGAGAGTAATATTATAAGTAGTAAGTAACTTACACTGTTAACCTTCTTTTGCCCCATCCTGTATGTGAATTTTCTATCATTAACATAATTTAATAATAATGTGATTTATAAAATCAGTAACAGAAATATCTTACTTACTAGGCATTTGTGAGTAACCTTCAAGGAGAACTGGCTGATACCCAAAGAAAACTATCTTCCACAGAGACTCTACTGAAGGATGAATCATGTCATCCTATGGATTCACAATATAAAATACAAGCATTGCAGAAGGAATTAGATGAAACCAGAAGTCAAGTATGTATGAAATTTAGCATGTCATCAGTTAATCTATAACTGGTTAAATAATACAAAGTGTTTTAGGATACTATTTTTCAAGGGCAGCTTTCTTTGCTATTTTCATTGTGATTAATTTATTATAATGTTATTATCTTTATAGTACATTTATTTCCTAAACCCTGGTTTTTATTCTTCTTTTTGTATCTGTTTTTTCTTATAGTATTTGCCCTTAGGGAATGACATAGCTATGTGTCATTCTTCATAGAAGGCAAAAAGCTTTGCTTCCCCTACAAAACAATCTATTCAGTGAATCTCCATTATCACGATGAGGCAGCCAGATCAAATAGAGGATAGTGCTGAATGAAATGTTCCAGAAAATTGTTTTATGTATTATCTATATTCAGTGAATGGATATTCCATAGTAATTTCAGAATTACTTGTACAGGAAAGTCATTATATTTACCAATTGTAGTAGGCATATCCTTCATTCTCACTCACTTGGAAATGAAAGCAGGGACATATTTAGATCATTGTAATATGTACACCCACAATAGAAAATTAAGGAAATGAAATCTAGATCCACTAATGGAATTAAAAACAAAACAAAAACTAGTATTGATATAATTCAGAGTAAAGGCCCAGTGCATGAAATTCATGCATGTGGGAATCCCCTCAGCCTGGCCTGTACCCTCTCCAATCCCAAACCCCTGGGATATTGGGCCTAAACCAAAGTCAGACATCCTTCTCATAATCCTGGACTGCTGGCTTCTAAATACTCACCTGCCTGCCTGTCTGGTCACCCCTGACTCCCCTCCCCCCACTGGTTTCATAGGGCAACTACCTCTGAGTGCTGGCCTGATTGCCTCTAGCTGGCCCCCCTCTGTGCCAAACTGTTTGCCTTTAGCTGGCCCCCCTCTATGCCAAACTATTTGCCTCTAGCTGGCCCCCCTCTGTGCCATACTGTTTGCCTCTAACTGCTACCCACCGCCAGCCAGGTTGCTCCCAACTTCCCCCTCACTGCCATCCTGGTCACTCCTTACTGCCTCCCCTGCTGGACTGGTCACCCTTAACTGCCCCCATGCTGGCCTAATCACCCTAAACTGGCCCCCTCTGCCAGCCTTATTGCTCCTAAGGGCCTTTCCTGTTGACCTAGCCACCCCTCACTGCCTCCAATATCCCCCACACACAACAGCCTAATTGCCCCCAACTGCCCCTGCTGGCCTAATCACCCCAGGCAGTCTGCTGTTCTGTCCTTTGGTTGTCTCTCACAAAGCCCCTGTCAGCCTGGTTGCCTCACTCAGACTGCTTGTTCAGTCATTTGGTTGTGCCTCACTAATGCCCCTGCTGGCCTGGTTGTAGGTAGCCATCATGTGAGGGCATGGGTGTTAATTTGCATATTACCTCATTATTATATAGGAAAGCATATAATTTGCCAATTTAAATTATAATATGCAATATTTTAAAATGTATTTATAAAGTTGTGCATCTGTCACCTCAATCCAATTATAGAATATTTTTATCAGTCCAAACACAAACTTTATACTTCTTAGTGGTTACTTCCAGCTTTTAACCTTTTTAGAACTTATTATTTTATATATCAAAACCTCTGTTTTTGCAAACTTTGGCAATTTTAGTTCCAGAAAAGAAGTGGTGAAAATGTAAAGTCATTTTAAGCTTCATTTTAAAAGTCATTATTCTTAAAATCTTTTCTAATTGGCTTTTAGTTTATAAACCTGTCTGCTATATTTTATAAACTTGTTCACCCATATGACTCATGAACCCAGGAGAAATCTTAATTTTAAGAAAGAAAAGTAAATCTCTAGATTCCTAAAAATAATTTTCTTTAATTTTTTTTCAAAGTTGCAGCATGAAAAGGAAGAATCAAAAAAACTCTTTGATTTAACCATATCTCTGCAACAGAGCTTGCAGGAAATATTGAAGCAAAAGAGTGATTTAGAAAAATCGATGACCAGGTAAAATCATATCTCAGATCATTTCTGGCATGAATTAAGATTTAATGGTCACTTTATTAAAACCAAAATAAAAATTATTTACTATCTGTAATTTTTATAATTAAAAATTATCTTATTTAAAAATTGTGTGCAGAATCTTACAGCACAATGTGAAACTGTTTCAGGGCCATGATATTGTACTTACATTTTAATGATTCTTAAAATCATAATGAGATTATTATTTGCATATCCTGTCAACTGCAAGTTTTATGTCTACCTGGAATGTTTATTTCTGCAAAACATCTTCTCTGTCTGCTGATCTTTCCTTCTTTTTATAGTGAGGGTCCCTTCAGCATTCAAATAGGCTAATATCTTGATTCAGCTTATGCTTCTCCTTTTTTAGTATAAAAGATATCATACATATAAAAATGTCCATATGACTTAAAGAAGAAGTTGGGCAATCCTGTTTTTACCACTCATAAAAACACAACAGCATTTCCCCATGTCTGGGAAGCCCCCAGGAGGCTCTCTTTCAGATTTCCCCTATTCTCGTTATCAGTGCTTTTCCTCCTACTTAACTGTCTTTCTCTACATTGTTTCATATCCCTTTCATTTTGTTAACATTGTGCTAGCAAAGATCTCTTCTTAAAGCAGACTTGAGATTGTTGCTATCTCTTTGATTTATCTTCTTCTAAACCCCTGTTCCTTCCTCAATTCCTCTTCCACTCCAGAGGCATAGAGTTTTCTTTTATGCTTCTCCTTCTATGATCTTCTTGATGTTGGTACTTTTCTTTACTTCTGTAGACTGTTGTCAGTAAGTACCAAAAGGTATGTTTGTGTCTTTTCAAAACGTTCACATATGATTTTTCTTTTCTTCTTCACCTTAGATACTTATCTCTGGTTTTTAGTTGATATTTGATAAGAGATTCATGTTTTATATTAACACTAGAGGCTGGGTGCATGAAATTTGTGCACAGGTGTGTGTGTGTGTGTGTGTGTGTGTGTGTGTGTGTGTGT